AAGCATACTGGCGGGGCCAGTAAAAATCAAAACTCATAGTGAGTTTAATCTTTTATCTACCGCGATTCCCACTTGTTGGGGCAACGTGACACTCACACACGATGCGCAATCGCAAATCATCATGAGCGGAAACCAAGACACGGGGTGTGTTGCCGCTGACTGCTGTTTTGTACAGCAGTCCATCAAGAACAGAATACCGTTCAGTTGAAGAGCGGTGTTAAGACGACAAGCTTTTCAAAGCTTGACTGCATCGATCGGCTACATAAGCCATGAACCGCAGAAGAGACTCATCTTCTGCGTATGCTTTTCGCACGTCGTCGAGAAGATTCGACGACGGAACACTCACTGATACTGTTGCAACAGTGGGACCACATCTACTGTTGTGTTGAGCAGTCGACTACAAATCGGGCCGACGCGCAAGAGCATCAGCGACGACGTTAAGTCGTACTGGTTTATACTCGACGGAAAAGTTGTACTCCGCGAAGAAAGACAGCCACCTCGCCGTTAGTTGCGAGAGGTATGGACTGTGTACGACCGTGCGTAATGACGCTTGATCGGTATAAACGATAAATGGCCTATCATCTAAGAGATATACCCGAAACTTAGCCAGTGCATATTTCATAGCAAGGCGTTCCTTGTCATGCACCGGGTAATTGATAACAGACGACGCGCTCAACTCCGTCTGAGTTGTACTGCGTTAACGCGCAGCCGATTGCACAATCGCTGGCGTCACACACCACATGGAATGGTCCGTCCTGGTCTGCAATATCCAACACAAGCGATTGTATCGAGCTTTTCTTGATACCTTCGCAGGAGTGCTGACACTCAGCACTCTATGAGCACCTCTCGTTTTTCTTTATTGATTAAAAGAGATGTACAGTAAATCGGCGTAGTTGCGCGAGTACTTGTGCAAGTACACCGCTAGCCAAGGAACTTTCAAAGTCACTAGACGTCGACTGGCATAGGCCAGTCGCTAATCGCCTTGATCTTTTTCCAGGATAAGAGCGTACACCGTTTTGACCCACGATGCAGCCAAGAAGTGGTAATTCGTTCGCTGCAAATATACATTTCTTGAGGTTCGCGAACAACTTTGCTCTCGCATTAGTGTAAGAACCTTCCGGACGTGGATTCCATGAACCTCCACGTCCGTCTTTCCATCCATAGCCCGGCTATGGACGAAGCCATCGACAAAGTAACTCGGTGCGAAGTTCTGCACCGGTCCCAACATATTGGAAACACATCTGTTGAACGTTGCAGGGGCGTTACTTAGCCCCTGTGGCATCACTAGCCACTCCTAAAGCTTACCATTGGGGGTGATCACTGCTGTGTACGGGATGTCTTGCTCACGTATGAGGATCTGAGAGAATCCATCCATCAGATCCATGAACGGGAAGATGGTACTTTTTGCCATACCATCAATGATGACGTCCTTCCTTGGTATCAGCGTATGGGCCGGTGCCGTTGCAGCGTTCAATTTGTTGAGCGCGTGCACTATCGCCACCCTCCCGTGGCCTTTCGCACACAGAAGGTCGGAGAGCCGTTAGAGGATGTTAATTCCCTCACACGGCTCGCAGCCAAGCGATCGCAAGGAATTTATCGATCGCAAGTACTTGTCCACCAGGCAGTGGCCACTCCTTCATGACACCGTACTTCGAGCTCGTTTTAGTAATTGATCTTGTGTCGAGTGCCTTTATTCTTAGGCAACTCACATGGAAAGGATTTAGGAAAAACATCACTGAATGCAGTCAACTCCTTATACACGGGATTTGAATTCAAGGAATCTCAAGATTGAGACATGTATTGCTCAATCCGGGTCTTCACATCGAGAACACTTTCATACATAGATGAACTACTGAGAACCCGTTCGCTCTCAGCAAACACTTGTGCCGACCAAATATCGGCTACGTACTCGTCCTCTGTGATGAGTACACGGATCTTCTTGATTTTGCGACTGTGCGGATCACTTAAGAACCGTATTTGTTCCATCGTTGGCAACTTGATCACCTTCGAAGCTGCTTTCGGAGGTGTAACTAGATCGAGTGTGTAAGCGCCTACACTTGATCCGTCATTCACCAAGACTTCCACTGTCTCGGTAATTATCCGGAAAAGCACATCCGATGGTGATTGAAGATCCACACCCTCAACATAACTCTCTCCGGAGCTATCAATCCCGGAACGCTGTAGCTTTTTTCAATACGTGTAATGACTGTGGGTGTACTACCACAGTCAAGTCCTCTTCGATCGACTCTCTTTCAGTCGACCGAGTTTGCTCTACGATAGACCCTCTTTTGTTGATCTCGCTTCGACGTGTTGTTCATTTTAAAAAACACTCAACTATCTTCTTGGATGCACCCTTCTTGGTGTGCATCCGTGTTTCAGTCCACTCGATCTTTTCGAGTTGTGAAGCTTCGGCGCAGCCTGTGTCTCTACACAGGTGCCGGAAGCTGTTTTCGCAGTGTAGTGGCCTTATACACTGTGATCTTGAGCAATCGTACTAACGACCGTACCACAAGTGAGACCATCGCACTAACTCGTAGTACATCCACACGCTTGTGGACGCTCCAAGATGTTCATCAGATTACCATCCGATGAACAAACGGCAGGCATCTTCACGGATTGATGCTGCCAGCTAACCCATGGCTGGTACTTTCTAAGCCATGACAGACCAAGGATGACATCAAATTTGTCATCCAAATCTGGTACGATAAAGTCATCATTGTACGGCTTTCCTTCTAGCGTGTAGTGGATCCCCACTATACGTTTGTTCATTGTTACGGATGCGCCTGTAGCGAGGCACACCGTCATCCTCGTTGGTGGGAACTCTCACTACAACATAGTTGAGGCTACTATCCCTTAGCGACTGGCGTTAAATGAAACTGTTCGATGCACAATCAACTTGGGAGCGAAGTGACATTCCACTTTTCACGTCGATCTTCAAAGCGATGAGATACTCCTCATCACTAGGGGTAGATACACACAGCGACTGTGTGTTGGAAGCAATCTTCGTCAAGAGTTCTGCAAATTCTCTTGACGTTGCTATATCAGCAGGGTGCTCTGCCCCTACTGCGTCTATCCTTTTTTTGCGGTCCGACTTGCTGTCGAGGCTTAGCGATATGGTCAGACCCACGCCTTGGACCCTTCCTCGGCCAACGGCGGTCATCACCACTGCCTTTGGACGTGATGCGGTGCTTATGGCACTACAATCATGAGTGTAGTGTCCGATCTTCTGACAACGTTGGCATATTGCCGTTCTCTTGTGATTAAGAGAGCGAGAGTTCTCGCTCTAGATGCAATAGATGTTCATTGGTTCGGGACCTCCTGTTTCCTGTCGTCTCGTCGGACGATAGTTTGAAGAATTAGCCTGATACTGTCACAGGCTGAAGTCTTCTTGTTCCGCTTACGCTATCGCCTTTTTCAGCGTATGGAAGTCCTTTTGGAATATGTAGGTATACACCGGCCCATCCACAAGGCCGTAGATAAACACGTTGATGAGCGTGTGCTCATCAGCAGAGTTTTCTGTAACGCTAATCGCAAGGTAGCGTAGGTGCTGTGCATAAGTATGCAAATCATGCTTACCTTGCTTTAGCCTCAAGAGTGCAGAGCGTGCTCTGAACTCGGCTATCGGCGACTCAAACGTTTCTTTAAGCCGAGACTTCAAGATCTACAACGACTCCAACACGTTTGGGTCGTGAAGCTTGAGCCTTAAGGCCCAAGTCTTTGCTCGTCCCGTCAAATTTGACAGGGCGAAGGCGAGATGCATATCATCACCCTCGATGTGACGGGCCCTGATTGCGTCGTCTAGCTCGACGAACCATCTCAAAAGGGAATCTTCATCGGTACTTTTGTACCTTGAGATATCAATCTTCAAGGTTTCGGGTCGACGCGCGTGGTCGGCCCGCCTACCGAATGATGCAAACCTTGCCGGTGAAGTAAGGCTATCTTCTGTCTTTCATAGCAAGTTCCCTTGTATGTTGATAGCAGCATATTGCTGGTCTCTGCCTAGAGACTTCAACATGCCACTGATGGCGGGTTCGCCCATGAGCGCGCTCATGCTACTGACTACCTCCTATTCTGAGTCAGTCAGGTGGGATTAGCCTTAAAGTGTGACGTGAAAGCTGTCGTCTTCTACGTCCAACATGTTCATGTTGAACGGACACTAGTAATCGTTAAGCGGACTACAATGTGCTACCAGGTGTAACAGGGCACCATTTTTTTGGGGTGCCGCGAAACTTCACGTACATTAGTACGTGCAGAGGAAGCTAATCTACTCAAACAACTATGTTGAGTAAAGGGTATAAAGAGAACCGTATTTAATATAGTTAGGCTATCGATATAACTTTGATCGTTATCTAACTATATTAAACTACATCGTCGTATGACGACAACCTGCTCACCACTCATTGCGCCCGTCTAGCAGCAATTAGTGGTAATCTGTGGTTATTATGTCTTCTATCAATCAAGCTTTGAGCAGCACATGAATACTATCCAGAAGGAGATAATATTCCTTCAATATTATCCATCTCATAAAATTAATAGGATATCGTCATGCTGGACAATATCCCTATTGACACCGTTTGGTGTCAATTTCAAGTAACAGGCTACCCCGTTACATATAGTCGTGGTAGAAGTAAAACTGTTACCTTCCTATGTCCTGTGTGTTAAATTGATTGAAGGAAGGAACTGAAAGCAGATGTGAGCCCTTCATTGTGTTTAGACGATTGAACTATGATTATACAAACACGACGCACCTTAGCAACTCTTGTTGGTTCATCACTATCTACTTCCTACAACAAGAACAATCGACACTATCGTCACACAGGCCCTGTCGTCTTCCAACTGTCGGTTTGGCCCCGTCGCCGTTTACCCAATATTCCAACGGTCGTCTTGGCTCATACAACCAACTGTCGTCTTCAACATCCAACTTGCAACTCGAAGTTCAACACGCCCTCCTCGACGCGCAATAGCTTGCTCTGCGCATTCGAATAGTGCAGTGTCGCCGGTCAATGCAGAAGGCCATTCCTAGTGTCTGACTTGTCCGCATCCATAAGCCCAATGAATTTACCATAAGTGCTAAACTGGTCTGCTTTTGTCGTCTTCGTAAGAAGATCGGCTGCACTATCTTCGGTTTTGACCTTGTGAAGTTTAATCTTGTTCTTTGTATCCTGCTCGCGTACGTAGTGCCAACGCAGTTCATTGTGGCGAGTACGTCGGCTGAATGTCGGGTCCAGAGCCAGCGTCATTGCGCTCGAGTTATCGACTTCGTGGTCCACGTCAATGCTCTTGCGTGTCGTATACAACGTTTCCTCCACTATGTTGCAAAGCGAATTTGCTTCCATAGCTGCCTCAAATGTTGCGATTTATTCTGCTTCAGCCGTGCTTAGGGCAACGACACTTTGCAATCGAGAGAGCTATGACACCGCACCACCTGCAAGATTAAATACCACACTAGTCACATTGCGCCGCGTGTCAGGATCACCTCCTTAATCGCTGTCGCCGAATCCGTCAATGACAATTTGGCTTGTATTTCCATGTTGTCGCTGGTAGGTTAAACCGTATTTCAAAGTGCTGAATAGATAGTGCAATAATCGCTTTACCGCTTCAACATGCTTGTTGCTTAATTGATTTACAAACCGACAGACCAAACCGACTGCAAACGTTATGTCTGGTCGAGTAGACGTAGCTGGGTACATATGTGAACCAACTGCATCTCGATAAGAAAATGACACCATCTCGTCACTTGGCTTTTCGTCCTCATGCACGTGTCGGGTGGTACAGACCACTGGAATTCCTACTCTGCGTGCGTTTAGAAATCCAAATCGCTCGAGTACTTCGCGTATATACTGAGTTTGTTGTATACCGATACTGAGAAGCCCGCCCGTGATCCTTGATTTCGTACTGCGCCTCTAGCAAATGAAAGGGTTCGTTCTTTTGCTCGACATCATTTGTAGCTACTAAGAGATCGTCGACGTAAATCAACGCCAGACACACCACTCCTTTATGCGACCGTACGTATAAATACGGCTCTGTATGTCCGCATTTAAAACCGTGCGCCTGAAGAAAGCTGTTGATTTTGGGATTTTTTACTCTCGTCCAGCCTGCCGCAAGCCGTACAGTGCTTTCTTAATTTTTAAATGCCTTGTTTCTCTCATTGAAATGTCCTTAAACACGATTTAAGTAATGTGGAATATGTAGGTTCGTATTTAATAATGCTGTGTTGACATCACAGCTGTAGATCTCCAATCCAAATAAGGCTGACAATGCCACAAATAACCGAAATGGCGCCATACGAGCGACCGGTGCGAATGTTTTTATAAAACCAACACTTTCGCGCTGCTTGTCACCGCGAGCAGCTAACCGTGCTTCAAAGCGAATCACTTCTCCTTGCTCTTTTGTTTTTACTGCATAAACCCACATCGTCGTCAACATGTTTGTCGCAGGTGGCACATTCTTTAGCGAAATTTCCTCGAGCACTCCTTTCATCTTCAGTGCTTCGAGCTCCTTTAACTCGGAGTGCTTCCACATAATTTTTCGGGATCTTGACATTACCTTTTGATAGTCCTTTGTATCCGTCACTGCAGGTACTTTTTGTTGCATGAACGATATAATCGTTAAAACGCGCTGGCAATCGACGCTGACTCGTACTCCGCAAATTCTCGCGCCTCTTCTTTACTTGCACATCACCAGTGATACTTTCTGTGGACGACAGCTGTGCACGCTTGCGTTTCGTAGGCTCCACTTAGACTGCTAGTTCTGCCGCGCTACCAACAATTTTCGTGTCAATTCTGCATCGTACTCAACCGAGCCTTGTTTGCCATTAATTGAACTGGTGTATGAGCTGGTACAGCTCATACCACCTTGTAAATCCTCCTCGACTTGGCCACTTACGCCAGCGTCATCTTCTTCCATCGAGTCGCCATCAAATTCAGCCATGTTACGGATCCTACAGTCTGAATCACCAGCCCCAAAGTCATCCACATTTCGATGGACAGAGTCAACTGTGCCACGATTACCGACCGGCCGTGTCCAAACACTGTCTTGTTTACCCGCGTCTTGTGCATCGGTTAAGATGTCGTCGTCGTCAATAATGCTATCCGTGGCTTCGATTTCTGCAACATAATCGCCCTCTTCGATACTTGCATTTACATCGCTGTTGGCTTCCGAGAGTGTAGCCGTGGTGGTGTGGCGGTCGCGATAAAGAACGTGCTCATTTGCGCAATTGTCTGGTACAAATTTTCGCGTACAATCATCGGGAAAGTAGAGCTTACAACCCAACACATCGGCCGCGTATCCAAAAACATATCCGATCTTGGCGTGACGATTAACTTGCGACGCCATGCGTCGGCTCCAACATGAGCATACGCCAGAGATCCAAACGTGCGAAGATGATAAATGTTTGGCAGCATGCTTAACATCTTTTCGTAAGGTCTGCTTTTACATCCTCGATTAAATTTCCGGTTCTTGATATAAATCGAGAATTGAAATGCATCGGTCCAAAAAAAAAATCCGAGGCATTCCTGAACGCATCAACATTGCACGCGTCATCTCCACCAGCGTTCTGTGCACACGTTCGCAGGGGTTTTGCTGCGAGCTGGAACGTCAAACCTGTACATGCTCGATGCCTCAAATTTTCAACCACAGTGTAAACTCGGTACTATCAAATTCTCCACCTTTATCCGTCAGCAACTGGCGAACAGGATTTGCAATTTGCGCTCCGTCACTTTCTTCGGTTGCATGGCGACGAGCTTATCGACCAACCCAAGCAATGTATTGTTTCAGCGCTGCGGATACTGCATTTGCTGCTTTTGTTCGCAGCATGTAAGTTGCAACGAATTTGCAGTAAGCCTATATGATCACCAAAACTGCACCTATCTGAGTGTCGCTAATTACGCCTGGCACCAACATAGTTGTATATACAAGCTCATTTGGATCCACAATGCGTCGGTCAAGCTTTTATAACGTCTTCCGTACTTGCTTTGCCAAGTGACACGTCTCGCAATCTCTTGCGTCATGTCCGGATAGCATCATTCCGTCAACAAGCTTTCGGTCTACCATCAACTTGATGTAATGAGGGCATATGTGGCCTAAACGCTTGTGCCATAATTGCAGATCTCCAACACCATCTCGAGCCGTAAGTTTATAACGCGCGTTTCTGGATGTGGCTTGTTCAGTATACCTAATGCAACTTGTCCCTCGAATACTCATACTGCTCCGACTTTGTCGGCTAGTGCCACCGTTTCACCACTTTTCTGTAAGGTAATCGGTGCGCATTGGAGTCCCATTCAAATTTAAATCCATCGTCAAGCGCACGCCCCATCGACAACAGCATATTTCTTGCGCCAGGAACGAGTAGTACGTCGTCAATAACCGTAAGTACTTTCTTTCCAGCAACAGACGATTCAAGTGAGATCGCTCCAACTCCGACTGGTTGTTCCTGAAATCTGGGTGCAACTCCACGCACGGTTGCTTCATCTCGAGAGAGCTCCCGATAGCGAATAATGTACCGCTTGTCTCCTATCACATGTGCATTGGATGCAGTGTCAATATACCACTCCTGAATCCAAATATTATCGGCAAGTGGGTTATTGTCTTGTTGAGCTTCGTCCACGTTATATAATGTCAGAATCACTACGTCTCGATCTTCTCCAAATACCTTAAGCATGTCACAGAGCGTGAGGTTCGTTGCCATGTTCCGTTTGCCTTCACGACGAACGACACCTTTTGCTGCGACGATATTTGCACCTTCGCCGTATTTTTCACGGTCTGGACATTCCTTTTTAAGGTGCTCACTACTGCCGCACGTGTAACTCCTCTTCTTGTAATCCTTCGCCTTGAAGGTTCCTTTTTAGCGATATACATTTGCATTGGATCCTTTGCTGTCCATGATCTGTCGGAGTTTTTGTCGCGCTGACGCTCCACGTCTATACGCCTCCCGCACATGAGGGCACCAATCCCAAAACCGCTTGTTGTCTCCTCATGAAGAGCGGCGGCTGTGCGAATAACGCGAATTATCTCTGGACTGTATGCTGCTGAGTCACTTGCAAACCGCACAGTCCGTCGTAGTTGGTTGAACTGCGTCGTTGTAGGTAGACTTGCCAGCAAAGGTTCTCGCATATCGAGTTCATCGACGATATACTGGAGATCCGCTAATTCCGTGCGGTGGTTAAACATGCGCGTCAGGTGCGCGATCACGTTCCCATCTTCCTCCAGATTTGCTTTCCAAAGCTCATGACCTAGCTGCCGGACACGGTGTCCTCGAACAGTGGGGTCCGACTTGTCTTCATAGATAGCCACCAAGGCTTTCCACAGTTCTGGTGCTGTCTTGTGTTCACGCACCTGATGCAACTGGTCACATGACAAACTTGTGAAGATGTAGCGCTTTGCCCTGAGCTGGAATTAATCATAAGCTTCTTGGCCTTCTGCCGTCATAAGCTTTGTTTTATCGTGCCGCTCATCTATCATATCACTCATCTTCTCCTCCTCAAAGACGTTTCGCGTGATTAGCTTGTAAAACTACCAATCACACCCATCCCACTCGATCGGAATTTCTTCGCTCGTGTACTTGTGCTTTACCTTTTACTTCGATGAATTTCCCGTGTACTTTGGGCTCATAACCCAGTTAAATTGATTGAAGGAAGGAACTGAAAGCAGATGTGAGCCCTTGAGTGTGTTTCACAACTGAACTATGATTATACAAACACGATGCACCTTGGCTACTCCTGTTGGTTCATCACTATCTACTTCCTACAACAAGAACAATCGACACTATCGTCACACAGGCCCTGTCGTCTTCCAACTGTCGGTTTGGCCCCGTCGCCGTTTACCCAATATTCCAACGGTCGTCTTGGCTCATGCAACCAACTGTCGTCTTCAACATCCAACTTGCAACTCGAAGTTCAACATTGTGTCTATACCTAGCATGGCACTGACTTTTACCGTTGTCAGTGGGAAATAACTCCGTGCGGGTTGACCAGTACGCTGTCGTCGGTGCCCCGTTACAGGCCTTGTCTCTTTTGTACAGCTCTTTTTCTACAACTATCTGACGTTCGGTAGCCTGGACCATGACTGATGTGTCGTATATTATCGACTGTGTGCGATACGCCACTGAAGTTTCGTAAGCGGGTTTCTGTGTCCGACAGTGTATTCAGCATCGGCGGTTAAGCCATATCTGTAAACTTGTCAGTGTTTCATCGGCGGTCAAGCTATATCTGTAAACTTGTCAGTGTTTCAATTACCCGATGGACGCCAGTGAAGACCGCGAGAAAGCGATGAGTTCGTCTACTAACAAGGTTGTTCAAGAATATTGGTACAGCATCTGCCCTCAAATCTTGCAATAAATTCAGCTGGTAGGCTGAGGCTTCGTGCCTATCTTGATCTCAACACCAATTGTCCAGCGTCAGTGCTTTCAATCGGTGCTTATCCAGCATTGACTCGTGACTCGTTCGTCGCTTTGCTCCACGACAAGTTGCACAAGCTCCTCGCTTCTTGTCGAAATCGTGTACATCGTCTGCAAGACCATGATCCTCAACAAGCGCGACACCCTTGAAGTCGTCGAGACCGAGTCGGGCATGCCACTTCGCCTCCGTACCGTTCAAATGTGCTGCAATGCTCGCGATCGCATAGTCCGCATCACGCTTGTCAAGGTAGCAAAGACTATTGCCCCAGGTCGTGCAGCCATCCATAAGCGTGCAGCTCTTCCTGATCAGTTTCCACAGCGATCACACCTTGCGTTGCATTCTAATCGTGATTATCTTCTTCACAACTTGCCCTATAGATAACGGGTTCGTGACCTAAAGTGAAGCCCTCTTGTCTCAAGCCGTCAGCGCAAACAATAGCAACGTTAAACTTACCTGATTTGTGAAGCCGATAAACTCGAGCGCAGGTAACATGTCACGAACTGCTGCTGTGCGTCAGCTGTAGAATCAGTGACCAAGCACGTTACGACAACGGCATTACTGTCCAGGGACCGTTCAACGACGGATCTTGACTGAATCTTACTAGCTCATTCGCCTGCGAACATCACTGAATATAATCTCGTACCGACGGTGTGGTTTGCCTGGAATACACCGACACGCATCAATTCGGTCACAACATATAAGACCGACGCCAACTTACCAACTTCATCAGCCACACCCACGTTGTATGCCGCTTCGAGAAGTAGTCTCAGGTAGAGTTCGAACCCGGGCTGGATCGGCATCGTCCTTCAATTCATCCAACTTGCCACAAGCGCAAAGCATCACAACCCAGCGCCAGATATTATATGGCAGCAAAAACACTAGATGCTGACAGGTAAGCTCGCTCAAATTCCATCTCATTTTCACATCTCAAATGCTCGCACGTATGTCTGCGTGTTGACTCGTGGACCTTACTCTTGATCCTGCGCTACCCGTCCTCTCAAAAGCAGGCCAATCGCCATGCTGCCATCAAATGGCCCACTCGCTGCCTTCGTTCGCCTCGTCTTCCGGTGTGATGAAAGGCGTGTGAATCGACTTGATCATTACCTCACCGCAGAACATGCACTCGGACGCGATGATCTCGTCCAGCTTTTGCTGCACCATCTCACGCTCCTGCGCAATGGACTGCTCTTTCGCACCACTTTTTGCCTTTGCGGTTGTCGCGGCACTGCTTCCCTCGGAACCAGGCGTCATCGCTTCCTTCTCGGTCGACGACAAGTTGAGAAAAGGGAAGGCTGACAGCGGTCGCTGGAAAAAGTTCGTGCTCGCCGGCATTTCAGTGGAAAGCTCATTGAGTTTCTGAACAAGCTGCTTTACCGTTTGTCGCTGAAAGCTATTCAGATGCTTTTGCATCTCTTGACGGAGTGCGCCAGCGTGAAAAGCGTGGGAGCACGGGAAAAGGTAGAATTCCTTGCCTAGGATGTTCTGACCGGTGAGCTCACGGCGTTGGTTGCCGGACACGACAGCACAACGTTTGCGCAGTTACTGCATGTCAGCACGAATCAATTCGGCCGACTGGGTGTAGTCTTGCATCTCTTCCTTTAGCTGTTCAATGCGGTCATTGTACACTTCGAGCGACTCGCAAATCTCCTTCTTGAAATCGTTGATCAGGACGAAGTCAGGGAAGAAAGGCAGGATATCCTCAATCTTCAACAAATCACTCTCCTTCAAAATGTTCATGGCGTCCTTGATCTCACCTCCAGCGTCGATCGTATGTTTGGCAATCAGCGTCCACAGTTTCTTGCGAGTCTCATCATCCTCGGGCATGCCAGCCATTTCCTTGGCAATTTTCACATCAACTTGCAGTGCCTTTTCCACGGCGTCCTGGTATAGCCCCATCGCAGGTAGATGTAAATGCAAGCACGGTTCTTCTCGTTCTGTGTGCAAAGGCGCAGAGCAAAGGCAATGTCAAACAGATGCTTGCCATTGTGCCTTTTGCGCAAGAAGCTAATGAGCAAGCGCTCGTCAGGGTGCTTGGCCAGCAGAAATAACAGGTAGTTGTGAATCGTCGGATCGCGGTTGCCCTGCTTGATGGCAAACTTCAGAAACCGAATGGCCATATCCAAGACGGAGCGACTTTTTGTTGTAGTGCTGGCCGATTCCGCGCCCGCATCGCTCTTCTGGTGCACATGACGCACAATTGACGGAATGAGACGCGTCGGGTTCAGTGTAGCGGCCTCCAGCCATGCCTCGTATACCTCCTTCGGCTTATGAATGATAAGCTCGGGTGAATACTTATACCACAGCTCTTCCACTACGCTACGAAGCAACTCGATTGCAGCTCCGTACTCGCCGCGGTCCACATGATACGTGATCACTTTTTCGTAATCTTCGATAAGAGTTGCGTAGAACACAAGCTCATCCGGTCGGCCGTGGCTAAGGATTAAATTGAAAGTCGTGGCCGGATCGAGATGACTCTTCTGATCTTGCAGGAATTGCTTGAACTCGAACAGCAAGTTAGCATGCGCATCAACATCTTGCACACTCCCCTTCAGCACATTGAACTTATCTAGAACAGTTCAACGATCCATGAACATAAGACAGTCTGCTGTGTCTTCTCGTCACTTCCCAAGCTTTTCAGCTTCTGCAGCAGGAATAACAGCAACGAGTCACGACTCTCGATTTCGAGAAACTTCAGCGCCACCTCTTCAAACGAACGCGTTGTCTTCGCGTACATAACAGCAGCACGATCAAACTTCCCCTTATCGAAGAGCTTGTCTGCTTGTGCTGTCAGCACGCGCTGACGTTCCCATCCATTGCGGCAGACAGCCAAGGCCTGCTCAAAATCGCGATCGTCACCGTTACCCATCACAGCCTTGCTCAAGAATAGCTTCCATACATCGCGGTCCTCGTCAACAATAACTACCTCCAAAATATGACGGCTTGAGTGGATCCACACTGTGTTGAACGTGTCATCCACAACAATGCCGTGCACATTGCCTACTCGCGCGTCGAACGATTCTTCCATCACGACCACGCCACTCAGCTTCGACACGACTTGAATATGGCGTGCGAATAGCAGAACCACGTGGTACTGGGTTACTGCCATCGAAATCGGCGGTGTCCATGATCCACGACCGTCCGAAGGCTTCTCCGGTTTACTAGGGTACGCTAGCAATCCTGTGCCTGTCGTCACGTTTTCCATCGTGCTCGACAGCCCGAAAACGAAATCTCCATGGTACACTCCCTCGCCGTTAGTACGCCAAAGCCTTTTGCGCGTTCACGGCTTTGTTTGACATAAAACCGCAATTCTGCTGTCGTCATGTCCCCCGGCATTTCCTGGAAACGTAGCTTATCTGGACTCGTGTACTCTTGGAACATGGCTTCAAAGCCACCTCGACCTCCGCTCATGAACTGAAACACACGCGTCGGTCTCTTTCCTGATGCCGACGTCGTGAGCATGACATAGTGTCGCTTCTCTCCTGATGGCAGATGCCAGTGCTCGAAAGCGATGCCAGCAATTGCTCCCTGGTTGGCAATCTGAAACACTTTGGTCACCGCTTTTTCCTTGCCTCCATCAAACGCTGCTTCAAACACTGCACCCGAGGTAGTTCCAATCAGTATAGGCTCCGACGCTTCTGGCGATCCAGACTGGCGGTCCCACGCTACGCTCGTAAACTGCATTCCTTGGGTCTTCAAAAGCTTCTTTGGACGCGTCGATCCCGTGTGCAAGTAAAAATTGGAGCCATTTTCCATCGACACGAGCACGTGGGCTCCTGTGGGATCAATGAACACACTAGACATGGCTACACGTGGCTCAATCATGATTTCCTCGATCGTCCCGTTGCTGTCGGTGGCTTCCGTCGTACAGCGGAGAAGGACGCCCTCTTGAGAACCCATGGCCAGTACGCCATTGCCCACGCCCATGCAGCTCAGCGTGAACCCCTTGCGACGGGAGATCTTGAGACCGTGCTCCCGAAGTTCAAACAGGGGCTTCTCCGGCTTCGTGAGCCTCGACGCGTCGTCGTCACCGACCGTCTCAAAGTCAAAGTCATCATTGTTGTTGCTGCTGCTGCGGCCGCCAGCAGGATTCCCGTCAATCGTCACAGCACCAGCCGCGTACAGAGCGCCGTCGTAGGCGCCTCCTCCAGAGCCCCCAGCGCCGCTTCGGACGTCAGGGACCGACGCTTCTTCCTTTTTCCAGTCTGCAAACAGATCCGCCGACATGTCGTGATGGTGCGTGCGTGGAGTGGGTGGGTGGGTACACTCTGCCGAAGCGAATATTGGCGAATAAGCTGTCAAAAGCCCTAGAGACGTATTTCGATTGGACAAAACGGATGTCCCGAGGACGACTTCGGACTTTGGAACCTCGCCCTGCCAGGCTGAGTGAGATCTGCACGTCTTCCTTGTTATCAGAAAGGCACTACTGAGTGTCGAGACTGTGCTGTCTGTAGGCACAAAATACCTGGATGTAGTAGTAAGTAATCATCACACAGCTGAAAGTCGCGTGTGAGCTCTCTGTGCTGTGCAGTGCAGACAGAGTGCACAAAAATCCGCTGCAGCAACCTTTAGTCGATTTGCAGACATCCTCTTGACTAGATTATCTACGTCGCCACAATCAGATCCGTCGCGACGCCTGCGCAACGCCCCTGCTTGCGACTATCTTTCTCGTTAGACAGTCCGTCTACGTGCGATATACCGAAGCAAGGCAGAGAAGAAGAGACGCGGATGCCATGACTTTCATTTGTCCGCGAAACTGCGATTCGACTCGCTGGACGTCAACGTATACGTGCCAGTCATCCAGAAAGTGCATTAGCTGTATGCATCACTGCGTACGCAGATCTCTGATGCGTGAGTGCAACGAGGAGTCCTCTACCTTTTCTCCTGCGTCGATGACTCAATTTGTCAGTGACACGCACGTCCGTTCTCCGAACTCACTGCAACAAACCAAACGAACCTGACAGCGCAGGGAAGTGCAGCTATTGCAGAATGCAAACGTACCTCGCATGCTGTATTCATCAGGCACGTGACTTGGGTCGAGTGGACTCATCAACCGACAATAATTGGTAGGAAGGTTTTGCTGCATCCATGTCACGACTACTAACGTGTACAAACAGTCTCTTGCCTTGTACTTTTTGGATATTTGACGTGGAGCAGCCAGAAAATCAAAGCCCGGCGGTAGATGTGACCAGACTGGAATCCGCTGTAGATATGTACAACGTACCCTCAAAAGTAAGTCCTGTCGAGGCTACAGATCAGAGACACACTTTGTGGGTGAGGATAGACTTTTCGGATCGAAGCTAGATATGTCAGCGTAAGGACCATTGCTGCAGAAAGCTACTCCTAGCGCATCTTCGACAACAATCGAGCAACCTTGGCGATTGAGAACTGGGACGACTAATTCCCTCGCAGGCGATACGAGTTGAGCCAACGAAACGACGCAAAAAGGCGAACTAACACATGCAAGAACGACAAAATGTATCTCGATTCTCCATAAATTGCAGTGCTTCTGTGTCGAGTTCGGCACCTCCATGTCAGTCGCATCTGCTGACGCTGGCCATAATTGCATCTCCTTCTGGTCAGCTGGCCTCTCTGCAAGAGTGCAAAGCGGCGGGTTCGGACGGCGGCCCAGCTGGTTGCAAGTGCGACGAATCGTTGCCGTATGGTTGTTGTAACGGGGTGAATCGTTACATAACAATTTATAAGAAATTGTTAATAGAATATAACTATAAGAGTTATATTCTCAGAATATTGTCATAAGGACAAATATTCTGTAGCACTTACGAGTAGTTCCTAATTGGTTGATATAGGCCATTATATCAACCAACGAAGACGCGCCACGACAGACGCACGCAATGAGTGGTGAGCAGATAACTGATTTACACATTTGTATTTAGACATAGCTAGATGAAGATAAATAGTGATTTATTGCAGACATTAACTATACTAAATACAGTTCTACTTTTTACTTTAACCAAGTACTCGCTTCTTCTTACCGTCTTCCTCTGCACGTACGAGTGTACGTGAAGTTACGAGGCACCGCCTTATTCTGTCATCAGAATAAGCAGCTTGTACTGTCACCAGTACAAGCTTCAGGGTGCCCCGTTACACCTGGTAGCACTTCGTAGTCCGTCCAAGGACCGCGTTCACATCCAACATGAATATGTTGGATGATGAAGATGACCAAAGCTTTCACGCTACGCGTGACGGCTACTCCCATTTGAGCGATGTCGAATGGGATGCGGTTGAACGAATGGGTTCGACCATGGGCATCCATGCTGTTAGCGTCATGCTAGAGGCTCTCAATAGAGATGCCCAACATGCTACTATCGCCAAGTTCATTCAAAATGAACTTGACGCAGAACGCGAGAAAGTAGCCTTGCTTCACCAACAAGGTTCTCAACAAGCAGAGTTGTTGAGAGAACAGGGTGCTCAACAGTTTGAGCTGTTGAGACAGCAGCAGGCTGCTGCTGGCGGGTCGATGCACTCGCGTCGACCCGAGACTTTGATGATTGACATCTCCAAGTATAGGGGGGGTCGAAGAAGACTCCCTCTTGAGATGGTTCGTCGAATTGGATGACGCCATAAGGGCGCGTCGCATCGACGACGGGGATATGCAAGTTGCATTTGCCCAGTCAAATCTGGCAGGACGTGCCAAGACTTGGGCACTGGGGCTCAAGTTGCACGACCCATATGCGTTTGGGTCGTTGGAAGTCTTCAAGTCGCGGCTCAGACAAACGTTTGAACCGCCTAGAGCTGAGTTCAGAGCTCGAACCGAACTCTTGAAGCTCAAGCAGGGTAAGCGTGATGTGCACGCTTACGCTCAACATATACGACATCTCACGAGTTGTATAAGTTCCAATCCGGTGGATGAACACACGTTGGTTTCGGTGTTCATGCAGGGTCTTGCGGATGGTCCCGTCAAGACTCACCTGTTCCGGCTTGAACTAGATTCACCAGAACAAGCCATTTCCATTGCGGAGCAGGAAGACTTCAGTCTGAGACAGGCTCGCGCCAGCTCGACATCATATCGTCAACCGAGACGATATGACAACGGAGGTCCAGAGCCGATGGAACTCTGTTATGTAGAGAGCGAGAAGGCTCGCTCTACAGGCTACAAGAAGTTGCAGAGATGCAACAGATGTCAAAAGACAGGACACTACGCTTACGAGTGTAGTGCCCCTCGTCCAGTGTCTCGCGACACTGGGCGTAGTGACCGTCCACCCATGAGAAAGGGGCAGGGACGAGGGTCCGCAGTTGGTGCAAAGACGCAACAACGGGATGGACCGTCAAAAAACGGACAGGATCAGTAGGTGCGGAGCACCCTACTGGTCCAGCAACGTCAAGAGAATTTGCAGGCCTCTTGATGAAGGTTGCTCCCAACACACAAACGTTGTGCGTTGCTGCTCTAGGTAATGAGATCCCACTCATTACCTTGAAACTCGAAGTGACGAATAAGTTGTCCCTTCGAGCTCTAGTCGATTGTGGGGCGTCCAACAATTTTGTGCGACGCCAATCGCTAGAAGATGGTCACTTTAAATTCAGTGAATGTGACACACCTCCTACGAGGATGACGGTACGTCTTGCGACAGGCGCATCCGTAACCGTCATGAAGCATATAGTGAAGATCCACTATACGCTAGAAGATACCCAATACGACGATGACTTTATCGTATTGGATTTGGATGACAAATTTGATGTCATCCTTGGAATACCGTGGCTCAGAAGGTACGAACCACGGGTAAACTGGCAACATCGAACAGTAACGATGACTGCCGCTTGTTCATCAGATGGCCATCTGATGAACGTTTTGGAGCGTCCACAAGCGTGTGGATATACTACGAGCGAGTGCGATGGCCTCACTTGTGGTACGGTCGTTAGTGCGACTGCACAAAACCTTAGTGTACCAAACGGTTACACTTCGGAGCAAAGTTCCGGCGGCTGTGAGGAAACACAGGCTGCGCCGAAGGTTCACCACTCGAATAAGTCGGGTAGACTGGGACAAAGATGTATCCCTAGCGGGGAACATCTAGAAGAGAAACAATCGATCGCTCAGGTTAAGCGAAACGATAATCCTAGATCGACTGGAGAGTCTTTCGTAGAGGATCTCGATGTGGTTGCGCAACCCCAGCTAGAGGAAGTAAAGGGAATAAGTCCCAAGATTACAAATACGGCGGAAATAAGTTCCCCGAAACCCGCGGGAATAAGTCCCCGGGAAGACGAAGGAATAAGTCCTTCGAGGCCTGAGGGAATAAGTCCCCAGGAAATGACAGAGACATTGAATGTCATAGTCAATAACGGATCAAGTGTAGGCGCTTATACACTTGATCTGATAGCGCCTCCGAAGTTGACTTCGGAGATCACTCAGTTGCCAACGCTCGAACATAAAAGGTTCTTGCGTGATCTGCGTAGTGGCAAAGTCAAGCAGATCTGCGTACTCGTCGCTGACGACGAGCGTGCAACCGACATAAGGTCAGCAACAGTGTTTACTGAGAACGAGAGAGTTCTCAGTAGTTCATCTATGGACGAGAGTGTCCTAGATGAAAAGACACGAATTGAGCGATATGAGTCCCAATCATGGGAATCGCTCAAGGAAAATCCTCTCTATGAAGATTTGGTTGAATTCAAGGATGTATTCCCTGAAACTGTTCCGTGCGAATTACCGAAGGATAAAGGTATTCGACACGAAGTCGAGCTTAAACCAGGCTCGAAGTACTGTGTCATGAAGCAGTGGCCACTGCCTCGTGAACAAGTACTTGCGATCGACAAGTTCTTTGCCGATCGTTTAGCAGCGGACCATGTGAGGGAATCAACTTCCCCACATAGCTCTCCGACCTTCTGTGTGCGAAAAGCAACAGGAGGGTGGCGGATAGTGCACGCGTTTAACAAATTGAACGCTGCAACGGTACCGGCTCAGACGCCGATACCGAGGAAGGACGTAATCATTGATGGTATGTCAAAGAGTACCATCTTTTCGTCCATGGATTTGATGGATGGCTTCTATCAAATCCTAATGCGGGAACGGGATATACCCTATACCGCAGTTAGCACGCCTAGCGGCATGCTCTGGGAATGGCTAGTAATGCCACAAGGGCTCAGTAATGCCCCTGCCACGTTCAACAGATGTGTATCACATCTGTTGAGACCAGTACGAGAGTTCGCGCCGAGTTATTTCGATGACGTATTCATCCATAGTCGAGCTATGGATGAGAAGTCGGACGTTGAGGTTCACAGGTACCACGTCCGACAAGTTCTTACAATCATGCGAAAGCATCAATTGTATGCTAACCTCAAGAAGTGTATATTTGCAGCAAGCGAAATACCACTTCTTGGGTGCATCGTTGGTAAGAACGGTGTACGTCCTGATCCCGAAAAGATCAAGGCGATCACCGACTGGCCTGTGCCGGTCGATGTCAAAGGTCTTCGAAAATTCCTTGGGCTAGCGGCGTATTTGCATAAGTATTCACGCAATTACGCCGAGATGACTGTACACCTCTCTCGTTTGTTGAAAAAGAACGAGAGGTGGTTATGGAACGCTGAATGTCAACGCTCCTTTGAGGGTATCAAGCAGAGCTTGATACAATCCCCAGTCCTAGCAATAGCCGATCAGGACAGGCCATTTCATGTGGTCTGTGATGCCAGCGATTTCGCAATCGGCTGTGCATTAATGCAGTACGACCTTGAAGGCGTTGAACGCGTCGTCTGCTATCAGTCGCGTCAGCTGCAACCAGCTGAGCGGAACTATCCAGTGCATGACAAGGAACTCCTTGCCATGAAGTATGCACTCGCGAAGTTCAGAGTCTATCTATTAGGAGATAGACCCTTCGTTGTTTACACTGACCATGCGTCCTTACGCACGGCAGTGAACAGCCCGCACCTTTCACAACGAATGGCGCGGTGGTTGTCATTCTTTGCAGAATACAACTTTACGGTCGAGTACAAACCAGGACGACTTAATGTCGTCGCTGATGCACTCTCACGTCGTCCCGACTTTGAAACAGTCGCGAAACCCAACAGTGAGACAGTCACTGTTGCGGTTATGACGTCCTCAGTTCCATCTACAACGTTGTATGATGATGTGAGGCGGGCATACGCCCAAGATGGTGAGATTGTGAAGTTGTTGTCACATCTCTCCCAACCATCTCGAGAATCGTTGAAACGATTGTCGTCTGCGTATCGATCTGCATCAGATCGATACACTACTCGTAACGGTTTACTGTATTATACAGCCGTTTCTGGTGACACACCACGTGTTGTCATTCCAGATGATACTGATCTGCGTTTGCGGATCATGTTCGAGTATCACGATGCTCCTATAGGAGGACATCGTGGCCGGGAGAAAACATATCTCACGGTGAGTCGAGACTTTTACTGGCCCCGCCAGTATCAGTTTGTGCGAAAGTATGTTCGCGCATGCGAAGTCTGTCACCGAGTGAAGTCAAGTCCTTCACTGCGTGCACCTTTACAGCCTCTACCGGTTCCGGCTGAGTGCTGGGAATCCATCTCAATGGATTTCGTCTTCGGGTTACCCAAAGACGCACGCGGGAATACGGGTATTCTCGTATTTGTTGACAGATTCAGCAAAATGGTACACCTTGTGGCTGTACCAGAGACAATCACGGCATGTGGCTGTGCTTGTGTCTTTATTGACACCATCTTCCGACTTCATGGGTTGCCCCGTGAACTCGTATCAGACAGAGATCCACGATTCACTGCTGATTTCTGGCGTTCCGTGTTCAAATCAATCGGACAGAGATCCACGATTCACTGCTGATTTCTGGCGTTCCGTGTTCAAATCAATCGGAACGCGCTTGAAGATGTCAACATCTGATCATCCAGAGTCAGATGGTCAGACGGAACGTGCCAATCGTGTCCTTGAAGAGATACTTCGAGGATACGTACACTCCTTTAAGAGTTGGAGTGAGTTTTTGCCAATGGTAGAGTTTGCCATTAACAACTCGGTGCATGCGTCCACGACACATACACCGTTTTTTACGTGAATGGCTTACGCCATCCGCGTGTACCCACCTTACTAGAGTGTAACTCTGGTTTAAGGGGGGATGGACTCGCGCGAGCAAACACCGATTTGGTTCACGCTTATCACGCTCTGACGAAGAGGTCATTGCGTTTGATGCCGATATCGATAACATCGATATCGAAGACCATGATGCCAGTGAGAGTGCGGAAGCCCTCACTGAAGAAAAGGTTGATGTTGCTGCAGTCCGCTCACAGCACACTGAAGCTAACGAGTCATCAGATGAGTTCATACTGGCTCGTGAAACGGTAGTCCGTTTTGTGCAAGACTCCATCGCCGAAGCGGTGGATAAGCAAAAGCAAAACGCTGACAAGAATGGAAGGGCAAACACTCTTTTATTTAATAAAGGTGACTTAGTCCTACTGTCTACGGTTAATCTACCAAAGCATGTAGTGACTAACTTGGGTAGCAGTAAACTACTACCCAAGTACATTGGCCCATTTCGTGTATTGCACCGCCTAGGCAATGCATACACGATCGTAAGATGCGAACGCATCCCACATTTTACGTTGGTCGGCTTAAGCCGTACCATCAGTACGCTGCTTCTTCCGATGAAGAACGCCCTTGCGCTCAAGCATCTCGCAGAGAGCCTTGTGCTCCCGATGGTGGGCATCAACAAGGGTCTGAAGAGCAGCTATCTCATCCCGAGACCGATCAACAATCCCACGAGCTACCCTTAGCTCGTCACGAAGAGATGTCTGAGATCTCTCGTTCTCAAGCTGAGCAAAGGCAAACTCAGCTCGATGCTTCGAGGCAGTGTCCGCCATTTGGAGACGCCTGTCCCGCTCATGTTCGAGATCGTTGCGCAACCCTTGCGTTACGCGATCAAAGAAGCTCTCGGGAACACACCGATCCACATGATCGTGTGGAGAGCGTCTTTCCTCCTCCTCCACCTCCATTAGAGGACTCTCGCGGTGGCCAGCGCTATCTAGTTGAGCAGCTGTTGAACCACCGCGACGTGAACGGACGTCGGACGAGTTATCTCGTCCGGTGGCGCGGCTATCCCCCGTCCTGGGATTCTTGGGAGCCCCGCTCCCAACTGATGGTTGACGTACTGGGTTTGGTTGAGCAGTACGACGCGGCACATCCTGTGCCGCAGAAGGACCGCCGGAGAAAGTCTTCCCGGCACGGTCGTAAAGGGATTTCAGATCGTCAATCCCTTCGTACATCTCAGTAGAGACACGTACGCGCCACCACGGGCTGGTAAGGAGGTAAGCCTCCTTAGGTGCTCGTGCAGAGTTGTTCACACAACATGGACACGAGTCTCCCCAAGAGAGG